ATTAATATATAACCATACACCATTATCACCCCATTATTAACATTTATGTTTCCGAAGTGGATTTGTCATAGCCAAGAAACTGGCACAAGGCTATTAACTAAACTCCAGGCTTGATTTGGGTTTCACTTGGATTTTTTTACTAAATGTCCTCTTTCTGTTCCAAGACTCAATCCAGGGAAGAGCATGATGTTTACCTGTCACGTCTCCCCTCTAGTCTGCAACAGTTTCTCCCTGTTTTTCAAGACATGGATAGTCTTAGGAATTTCCTGGTGGTCCAGGGGTTAGTACTCAGTGTTATTCACTGCTGAGAGTCTGTTCTTTAAAAAGAACACCACAGAGATGGGTGCCCTTCTCATCACATCCTATCAGGGCTCTGTGGCACCCACATGACACCACTGGTGAGATTCTCCTTGAGCCTGTGTGTAAGCTGGTATCTGTCAAGCTTTTCCACTGTGAAATGACTATTTTTCACTTTCCAAACTCGACTTTTGGAAATGAGTCTGTAAGTCTAAGTTACCCTCAAGTGGGACAGGGATTTTTTTTCCTTCTCTTTTTTTTTTTTTGGCATGTAGGATCTTAGTTCCCCAACCAAGGACTGAACCTGAGTCTCCTGCAGTGGAAGCTTAGAGTCTTAACCACTGGACTGTGAGGGAAGTCCCGAAAGCTTGGTATTTTTAATGTTAATTAAAGTAACTTAAAAAAAAAAAGTCTGGTTTAAAGTGCAAAAGATACGAATCTCCCCATCTCAATCTCCACAAGTAACAATGTTAACCATTTTCTTATGAATCATTCCAGAGGTATTTTATGCACAGACGTGTAAACATACATATTTTGTTCCACCTTTTTTATACAAAGGTAGCACACTGGCCACACTCTTATGTACCCAACCACAGTGAGACCCTATAAACCACACAAATTGTTAGACATGATGGATGATTAAACAAATCACAATACTGTAGAGCAAGGGGCTGGCCACCACCACCAGCGGTTACACAAATAAATAGTATCTGTTATCATGAAAAAGTAATATGTCAAATGAAAATAAAATCAAGTGCAAAGCACACATGATTTCTTTTGGTGAATGATATCTTTCAGGAGGATAAAGTTCAGAAGTCACAGGAGACTGTACCTGCCCAAGATAAAACAGAAGACTAGTGAGTATAATGTTTTGCAATACGTAGAAGAAAAATAAAACGATGGGGTTGTGAGATTTGGGCGAATGCAAACTCGAGGATCCTGAAGCCAGCCACTGGTAGATGGCAAGACCTTGTCAGTCTTTTCCTCGTCAGGGAGCTTAGGGTGGTTTGACTTTCTAGAATCTGTCTCCTTGGAAGGAGGGTGCTTGCAGTTAACTGCATTGTGGAAATAGGAGTAGAGCAAACACCCCACCCAGGGCAGGGACAGGATGTAAATTCCTCAGTCCTGCACTGTCAGGCTCCAGGCCACACATTTGTGGATGCCCCACACCCCAGCATGCCCACAGCCTACAGGATGAGGTGCTATCTTTCAGCCTGGCACCTCTTTATTCATTCATTCATTCACCCATTTATCCATCCAATCATCCATCTGCTCATTCATCCATCCATCCACCTCTCCACCTATCCATTCATTCATTCGTCTATCTATCATCCATTCATTCATCTATCCATCCATTCATCCATTCACCTTTCCACTCATTTGTTTCCTTCTTTAACTCAGCATTTATCATATGGCTGACCCTTTTCCAGACAGAGGGACACTGCTGTGGCTGAGATGAACCCAGGCCCCTCCTCATGGAAGGTACAGTCTGGTAGAGAACTAACCCAGTGTGGGGAGTGCCTCAGCACCTCAGGCATTTTAAGATCACAGAAGGAACTACACCACCTGAGGAGCAGGGCTGCTCCATCGTGGGGGTTACAGCTAGGCTCAGTGGGAGTCAGTCACTGAACTGAAGGGAGAGAAGGGAAATTCCAGATGAAGGGAACAAGAAAAGACCCACAGACCAGAACTAGCACCCAATAACCAAGCCCTTGTCCCAGTTTGGACCCTGTGCCAGGTTCTTGGCAGTCAAAACCCCTCAGTCACCCCGGAGTAGCCTTGTGAGGAAGACAGTATGATCTCCTTTTTGTCTAGATTTGTTGAGACATTATTGACATACAATATGTTAGTTTAATATATTGCACTGATTTGATACATATATCTATATTATGAAAAGACTGTTACAGTAAAGTTAGTTAATACCCCCTTCCTCTCACATAATTACCATCTTCTTGTAGTTCTAACATTTAGGATCTATTCTCTTAACTTTCAAGTATCTAATACAGTACTGTTAATTACAGCCACCATGCTCCACATTAGATCTCAAGTCTGGAAACGTGCACCTCTACACCCACCACCTCCCCATTTCCCTCACTCCCCGGCCCCAGCAACCACCAATCTACTTTGTATTTCTATGAGTTCAACTCTTTTATGTCCTACAAGTAAGAACATACAGTGTTTGTCTTTGTCTGCCTTATATTGGGGCTTCCCTTGTGGCTCAGTGGTAAAGAATATGCCTACAATGTGGGGAGCCGCAGGAGATGTGGGTTCGATCCCTGGGTCAGGAAGATGTCCTGGGGAAGGGCATGGCAACCCACTCCAGTATTCTTGCTTGGAGAATCCCATGGACAGAGGAACCTGGCAGGTTCCATAGGGTTGCAAAGAGTTGGGCATGACTAAAGCAACTTAGCATGCATGCATGCATGCCATATTTCACTTAGTATAATGCCTTCAAGGTCTATATTGTTGCCAAAGGCAGGATCCTTTTTTTTTTTTTTCGCTTAATAATATCTTTATCCAGTCATCCAGTGATGGCACCTAGGTTGTTTTCACATCATGACTATTGTGAATAATGCTGCAGTGAACATGTGAACTCACCTCTCCGAGGCAGTGATTTCATTTCTTTAGGATATATATCCAGAAGCAGCATTGCTGGGTCATATGATAGTTCTATTTTTAATTTTTTTCAAGAACCTCCATACTATTTTCCTGAGTGGCTGCATCAGTTCACCTTCCCACCAAAAGTGCACAAGGGTTCCCTCTTCTCCACATCTTTGCCAGCACTTGTTATCTCTTATTTTTTTGATGACAGCCATTCTAAAAGGTGTGAGATGATATCTCATTGTGGTTTTGGTATGCATTTCCCTGATGATTAGTGGTGTTGACTATCTTTTCATGTACCTGTTGGCCATTTGGATATCTTTTTTGGAAAAATGTATTATCTCCCTTTTAAAGATAAGGATGCTGAAGGTCAGGCCTGAGGTTTACTTTCTTCTCCGTGTCTTTCCCTGGTGCCCAGCCCAAGCCCTGATATACAAAATGTGCTCAGGAATTGCAGCATGGGCTGGAGTCTGTATATCAGATGCCCCCATTACCAGGGAACATGAATATGTCCCTGAAACCCTCCACCAGCTTCCTGGTCCGTAAAGCAGGGACACTTTCAAAATCAACATTTGTAGAGCACTTGTGTGCTGTGCTGGGAAAAAGAGCAGACAATGCAGAGTTCCTGACTCCAGGAACTTCCATGGAAGGATCTGAAAAGTTTGCTGGAAGTTAGAATTCACCCCTAGTGTCTCATTCAGTAACGAATCTGCCTGCAATTCAGGAGACCCAGGTTCGATTTCTGGATTGAGAGGATCCCCTGGAGAAGGAAATGGCAACCCACTCCAGTATTCTTGCCAGGAGAATCCCATGGACAGAGGAGCCTGGCAGGCTACAGTCCATGGGGTTGGAAGAATTGGACACAACTGAGTGACTAAACCAGCACCACCATAATCCACCCCAGTGAGGTTTGCATATAGTGCATGTATGTGCATATATATATTGCATATAGTGCAATATAGTGCATATATGAGGGTGACATATAGTGCTCTGGGTGAGCACGGCTTGACTTGCTAGCAGAATTAATGAGATAATACACGCTAACTAGAGAAGTCAGTGGTTTCCTATGTGCCTGGCACTGTGCTGAATGTTTTCTATGAACTAACTTGCTTAGTCATCGCCGTTCTACCAGGTCGTTATGATTATGATCAGCGGATGTATTGAGAGGAAGGTAGTGGAGGCTCAGAGGGGTTAGGTAACTTGCCCTAGGTCACACAGCTGGTGAATGGCAGAGCTGGAATCAGAACCCAGGCTGTCTCCTCCTCAACCGCAGGCTGTCCTGGGTCAGGGAGGCTAGCAGGCAACACTGAATTTTCCTCTTCTGCCTCTTAGAGGACAGAGAAGGATCATAGATACAGATCATGGAGCTGGGGGGGGGGGGGCGGTCCCAGGGTTAGAAGAGTACCTCAAAAAAAGGCCTATTTTTGGAAGCTCAAAAGAGGTCAAGGTCTGCCCTGAATCCCAGGTTCTCAGCAGTGGGCCACATTCTGTCAGCTGGACTTCTCCAGGGTTTATTTTTTATTATTTATTTATTTTTCTGAAGTTTTTTTTTTTTTTAACCATACCAAACAGCACATGGGATAGTTTCCCAACCAGGGGTGGAACCTAGGACCCTCTGCATTGGAAGCATGGAGTCTTAACCATAGGTCCACCAGGCAATTCCCTTCTCCAGGGTCTAGAGCAGAGAGATGACTGGGAAGATATTAGGGTGCAGTGTCCCATAGCTTCGGCCTGATGTCAGAAACCAACCTTGCTCCTTGGGCTTCAGCCCCTGCCAGGCCCTGAAGTTGGAAGCAGCCTTCACCCCTCACTGCTAAGGGACAGACCTCTGAGGCCTCAAGTCACAGTGACTGCAGCCTAGCTGGCCTTTCCCCACCTCTCAGGACTATATCCCACTATCTGCGTCCACCCCCCGCAATCCGAGCATTATTCATGCCTGAAACATCTCAGAAAGCCACAACAGCCCTGCCCTCCACCCAGATCCACACAGCCTCATAGCTGGTGTTCTTTAAAAGGTCATCTTCTTCCCTGCCCTTACCGACAACCCCCCTCCCCGCCTTCCTGCAGCCCTTCACACCTCCCTGTTTCCCTGCACGGAGCAGGGACGTGCCTGCATGTTCCAGCTGCATGGCCCCTATCAGGAATTCGCCCGCAGACACCACCTTCCTATCTGCCCCTGGGGCCCTTGGCTGCCGAGCTGGCCTGTCAAGCACCTGCAGCCAAGAACCTGTGGAATCGGCTAACATCTTCATGCCAGTCTGTCCTGGAGAAAGTATGTAACATTGGGTAAGAGCCTGTCCCACCTGCTTCAAGGGACCCAGAAGGCTTGGGCCTCAGTCCTGGTCCTGTCCATTTCCAAGACAGGGGGAGCCACTCTACTTTATTAACTTACTTTGGCTATGCCTTGAGGCATGCAGGGTCTTAGTTCCCCAAGCAGGATTGAACCCGTGCCTGCCCCCTGCACTGGAAGCACGGGGTCTTACCCCCTGGGTAAGAGCTTACCAGGGGAGCTCCTGAGCAGCGCTCTTCAGTCACCGCCACTGTCACTAGTCCCCAGGTCAAGGCTCCCGGGCGGGAGGGTCCCTGTGAGGACAATGCCACACTCAGCACACACCCAGATCCCTTCAGCCTATGCCAGTTACATCCAGCTGCCAGCCGTGTCCTTCTGCCCGATGACTTTCTGGTCGCTTGCTCACCGGGAGAGTGCTTTCCATCAACTAACTTGTTTAGTCATCATGAGAAGTCCCCACTCTGACCGCACAGGAGAGCCGGAAAGGCCTCAAATGAACACCCCCCACCACCCCAACCAGTAGCCCTCCACCAATAACTGATGGTAAAGCCCCCAGCTCCTCCGCACCCCACATTCCAGGAGCAGCCCTCTCGTTAACTCACCCTTTATGGGCTCCCACTGTGCCTGTCTCACCTCCCAGTACCTGCCAGGACTTCCTGGGATCACTTTCCAGATAAAAGTCTGGCATTCGAACCCGAGGTCTGCTTGCGAGGAAACCCAAACTAAGACAACATCTAATGTGCAACGTGTGTCGAGCGCGTTGTGCCGAGCACTGTGTTCAACACTTCACACGGCTTGACTCATTCCATCCCGCAACAGGCAGGCTCGAGGTAGGGACCGTTATTGTCTCCATTTCGCAGATGCAGAAACTGACTCAGAGCTGGGGCTCGAAGCCAATCGACTCCTCCCTGGCCCCGTCCTCCAGCCGGCGTGAATTGCTTTCAGTTCCTCAAACTGCTCTGCTCACACTCCTCCTTCCCTCTGCCTTCTGAGGCACAGTGAGGATCAGTCACTTGGTGACAGCAGGTTAGAACCACTTGGACTCAAGAGGAGACCTGCAGGCTGGAAGCCCTTATACTTCACCCCTGTGGGAGGTGAGCAATAGTCCCTCAAGGAGTCCACGCCTGGACCCTGTGACTATAACTGTGCAGGCATGATTAAGTGAAGGATCTTGAGATGGGGAGATGATCCCGGGTTATCAGAATGGGCTCAATGTAATCACAACGTCATTTTAAGAGGGTGTCCTCCACCCATCTCTTTCAGACAGAAGATGATGTGATGACAAAGCAGAACAGAAAGAAACTGGAAGATGCTACGCTGCTCCCTTTGGAGATGGAAGACAGAGTCAAGAGACAGGAGATGCAGAAAAAGGCGAGGAAACATTCTCCCTTGGAGCCTCTAAAAGGAACCAGCACCTTGACCCTAGCCCAGGAAAACTGACTTTGGACTTTTAGCCGCTAGAACCGAAAAGAGAATACATTGGTGTTGAGCTAACCACTGTGTTTATGGTGGTTTGTTACGCAGCCACAGGAAACGAATGCAACTTCTGAACCAGTCCATCCCCGACCAACGGCTCAATAGCTGTGGTTCAGGACAGCTGACACCTGGCGGGCACATTGCAACCCATCCCTGGGGACACCTGGGGCGGGGAACACAGAGATGGGCCTGCCTGGTCTGAAGGGTCAGGGAAGACCTCCTGAGCTTGAGCGCACTTCAGCATAGGCTGGAAGGAAAGGGCAAGGGATGGTGTCAGGCAAGGAGCAGCGAGTGCAGAGGCCAGGAGGTGAGAGAAAGCTCAGTCATTTGAGGAACTGAAATGATTCGGTGTGGCCAGACTTTGAGGGAGAAACAGTAGAAGCGCTGTGGTGCAGTGGGTCGGAGGGCGGGGTGCCTGGGCGTGAGGCCCTGCCTTGCCGTCTCCCAAGTGTGTGATTTGGGCAAGTAACTTGACATCTCTCTCTTGCCCTAGTTTCCTCACCTGCCTGATGCTATTTTATGTGTCTGTTTTCTTTCCCTTCATTTATTTAAAAATTTTTATGATTTTTACACAAATTTAAAAGGCTACTTTCCATTTACAGTTACTACAAAATATTGGCTTTATTCCCTGCATTATACAGTATATCCCCGAGCGGATTTTATTGTCGATCATTTCTACAGCGTCCCCCACCCCCAACCTGATGACATTTTCCTGTAAGGGTTCTGTGAGGTAGAAGCGCATCTATAGCCGTTGGAACAGTGTCTGGCAGAGGAAGGATCAGTAAGTCTGTCATTGACGCCTACCCCTATCAACAGCAAGGTGGCTCGTTTCTCTTTTATTGGGAAGCAGCACTGGATGGAGATTTTCTGGATACTGATGGTGATGATGATGAACATGATGACAGCTACCACTTCCTGACCACCTGCTGTGCTCAACCCTCATTACCTACCTGATTTTGTAAGTGTGAGGTGGGTGTATCACTGTTATTCCTGCATAACTCAGATTTGAACCTGGGTCTGAGTCTAGAGGCTTCCCAGGTAACTCAGTGGTAAAGAATCTGCCTGCCAATACAGGCAGATCCCCTGGAGAAGGAAGTGGCAACCCACTCCAGTATTCTTGCCTGTAAAGTCTCAAGGGCAGAGGAGCCTGGTGGGCTACGGTCCCTGGGGTCACAAAGAGCTGGAATACGCCAGAGTGACCGAGGACTGAGTCTAGAATCTCTGCCTTGCCCGGGTTGCCTGTTTTCCTGGGGGGCGGTATGGGGCTGTGGCCCAGAGCAGGGGCCCTGGAGTCAGCCCTATTAATAGCATGCTTGGTTAACATCTCAGGTAACCAAGTTCTACTTCATGGGGCCTCAGTTCCTACTTCATGGGGTTGTGTGAGAATTAAATGTGTCAAAATGTGTTAGCACCCTGGTGAACCGTTGCCATGATTATCATTGTTGTCACCAGAGAAGTTTTGCATTCTAGAAAGCCACATGGTCCAGTAGACTCCCTCTGGAACTAACCAACCTGGGATTGAATGGCTGGTCAACCATCAAGGCCAACAGAGGTGCAAATTTCTCACACTTGGAGAACTGGGGGCCCTCAGAGACCTCGTTATGCTGGGCCAGCCATGTTCTGATTGTTCTCTTGTAACTTCTCAATGAGCTTCTGTAGCCAAGAGCTTTCCCTCTGCTTAGCAATACTAAGGCTAATGCTCTGGTTACTGCCAGCCCTTCCCCTCCCCTCACTACTGAAGATCTATATGGAGCTTTTGAACAGGGGATTGACCTCCAGCTATTTTGGAAGGGCCTGTCTTCTATCCGGACTGATTCTGGTCTGAGCTGAGAGTGTATTTACTGGCCAAAGTCTGCTCCAAAGTAAACACGCCATCACATTCCTCACAGCCTGTAACCTCCGTGGGGAGAAGCTGGGGGCCGTCATGGAGCGAGGAAACCTTATCTGACTTTGTTTCAGCAGGATTCCACTTAGCTTCGCTTGGTGGGGTGAGGGACATGGAGAAAAGAAGGGAACAGATAATCTTAAAATGAGCTGAATTAAAGAGCACATTGGATGCATTCCCTGCAATAACAGGTAGAGACTAGGAGATTTACAAGTGAAGGAGCACACATTTTAACGTGGGTGTGCCTTTGCTTTTTTCTACCCATAAACATAAAATGGATTTGTTTTCTTTCCTTTCTTCCTTCCTTCCTCCATTCTTCCCTTCCCCTCTCCTTCCTTCCCTTCCTCCTCCCCTCTCATTTTCTTTTTCTCCCTTCTCTTTCTCGTTATGATAAACTTACAGTACCAGCCACACATACCTGTGCTATTGTTGCTGCTGTTTAGTCTCTAAGTCGTGTCTGACTCTTTTGTGACCCCCATGGACTGTAACCTGCCAGGCTCCTCTGTCCATGGGGATTCTCCAGGCAAGAATACTGGAGTGGGTTGCCATGCCCTTCTCCAGGGGATCTTCCCGACCCAGGGATCAAACCCAGGTCTCCCGCAATGCAGGTGGATCCTTTACCATCTGAGCCACCAGGAAAGCCCTATATATATATATATCCATATATACACAGATATATATATTCATGATACCATTACTACAATCAGAATGGAGACCATATCCATCGCTCCAAAAAGTCTCCTCATACTTTTTTGTAACCTCTCCCTTCATCCCTCCCCACTTTCCCCCTGCATCCCCAGGCACACCCTGATCTGCTTTCCGTCACTATAAATAGCTTGCATTTCCTAGAGTCTTACATAAATGAAATCACACAACATGTTCTTTTTTTGTCTAGCTTCTTTCACTGAGGTTACTTATTTTGAGATTTAGCTACGTTGTGCGTGTCAGATCCTTAGTTCTTATTGTTGAGTACTGACTAGTTCACTGTATGGATGCACCACAGTGCATTCATCAATTCACCTAATGGACCTTTAGGTTGTTTCAGTTTGGGGCAATTACAAATAAAGCTGGTGCAAACATCCAAGTACAATCTTTTTATGGACACATGCTTTTATTTCCCTTGGGTAATTACCTAGGAGTGAAAGGGCTGGATCATATGTTTAATTTTTCAAGAAATCGCTTTCCAAAATGGGTTTACCATTTTACGTTCCCACCAACGATGCATGTTTCGAAACAGAGAAACGTTTAAGGTAGAAAGAAAGTCCTTAAGGTAGAAAGTAAAACTTCTTATAATTGTACTTCCTAGGTAACTGTTTCCTATAAGTCCTTCCAATGTTTCAATTTTTAAAAAGTACACACAGAACCAGACTGAGACATAGAAGTGCTCCAGGCAGGCTAATAATTTGGGATCCCCTCAACTTGATATTTTAAAAACAGTGGTTCAAAGTGGTTCAAGGATGTGGAGAAACTGGCATTTCTGTTCATAAAATAGATTATTCTTCTTTTAGAAACAAAGAATTCATTACATATACAGAATGAACTGTGGTCTTTTACTCGGAATTTTCCTGAAATCATAGTTGTCCAGGAAGGTTCTTGGGAGCTATATCAAAGGGCAGATGGT